TTTTTTTTTAAGTTGTTGTAGTTAAGAAGTGCCTAAAATAATATCATGGTTCCTATAAAAATTATAGAAAATTTTCATGTCCATTATGTGGCTGTTTACTAGAAATGCTTTTACAATTTCATCTACAATTAAAGAACTTTAAACAAAATAAATATTTCAAATGAATTAAAATGGGATGCTATTTTGATTTCTCAGTGACATACATTGATGGCCTTTGTAATTATTGATATATAAGCATTTTAAATTTCATAAATAAGTCAAATAAAATTAAGTCTAGAAACCACAAACAAGGACTCAAACTTTTATTGCAAGCAAGTTGTACACAGTCTTTCTTTATCTAAAGTGTTAATAATTAAACATATATACATATATATACATATTCTGGCATATCTGTGCATTCAGAGATAGTATTATATAAAAGGTAAGTTTATACTATCAGAGAAATAGAGTTATTATTAATCATTTTCAACCTAGCAATTAAGAAAACAAAAAGTCATGTAATAAAATATTAGCATTTCTATAGCAAAATCAATTTTTATTCTTACCACATACCAGGACTATTCATACCATTCCTGAACTTTGAACCATGAAAGCTCAGATAAACCTGAATTACTAATTTGCTTTCTTCATAATCTCCTACATGTGTTTTAAGTATTTTAAATGCCCCCATGCAATATGAGTCATACCTTTGTCTTTCCTTGCTTAAAAAGAATCTAACAGCCATCCATCACCATCATGTTATTGTTCGGTGCAGTTGAGTCAATTCTGACTCATAGTGACCCTGTATAAGGTTTCTAAGGAGCAGCTGGTGAGTTTGAATCACCAGCATTGCAGTTCAAACCGATCTTATGATCAAGTGCTTATCCTACAGTGCCAGACCAGTACTCCACCTTCATGTTACTTATGGTCAATTAATTCTATGGCCTTGACATAAGATGGCAGTATAAGGCAGTGTGTACTGATGATAACGAATACTTTCAGTGCTCTTTTGCAACTTCATTGCTTCATTCATGAGCATTAAACACTCAGAGCTCTGGTAGCATAGTGGTTACAAATCAGATTGCTAACCTTAAGGTCGACAGTTTGAAACTACCAGCTGTTCTATGGGAGAAAGATGAGGCTTTCTGCTCCTGTAAAGATTTGCAGCCTCAGAAACCCTGTGCAGGGTCACTGTCTATAAGCCGGAACTGATTCCATGGTACTTAACAACAACAAATAAACATATTCTAAGAAAATCTTGACTGATAAAATATTTCTAAATGAGTTAATAATTTTGACAAGACCATAGAGTTAAAAAGGCCAAGGTTACTGCTGAAACCCCATAGTTGGTTTGCTATACCATGTGATCATACTTCCCAGTTCACTAAAGTTCTACAGAAATGCATCACCTTCATTATGTTTACTCACAATACATGTTGTATTAATGGTAATTTAACAATATGATGCAATTACATAATGTGATTTGAAGTTAATTGGCAAATTGTAAGGCTCACCAGAAATCCAGAAAAGAAAGTAGGTTGTCCAGGTAGAAAGATTAGAAGATCTAAATTAATAAGGAAATTGTCTTAGTGCATCAATCTCCTACCTGACTTTACCAATGGAGACCTTGGTTTTATTCTGAAAACTTGCATTGTGAAAGATGAGATTTACAGGTTCTGTATTGATTAAGGACTTTCATTTGACCTGCTGGTAAGCTCTCTGAAAGAATAGAAGGAACACCCAATCCTGAACTCAAAATTGAGTCTTGTAAAAACTAGTAATATATGATACTGTGGAAATATATTGTATGACCAGGAAGAATTAACAGAAATGCCAGTAGAATGTGTGGGATTTTTTACACATAAATAAGCAATAATCTAAGAAAGACTATACCAGTGTTTTTCACAAAATAAAAAAAAATAATAAACAAAGGACTGAATAGTACAATGACTGTATTACATTCAGACAATAAGGAATTGTCTTTTCATTTGAAGGGTGAAAAAGTATCTTTATCTGTGGTAACAAAAGTTCATAATATATATGGAAGCATGAAATGAAAAACTGTGGTATAGACTAAAAACTATATAAATATACTCTCCACATTCATAAATACACATTATTTGGCGTATTGGTTTGAATGAAGGTCCACAAGCATATTTTTAAACATCTAGATTTGGACTGAAGTCCAGTAAAATATATTCCCAACAATTATCAGAGCTTTCTCAACAAAAGTACATGCATATACTTTACTTTGAAATTATTCTAAGATAGTTATTTCTACTTTCATAGTAACTAGTACATTTGTGACTAAAGTTGTCTCAGGTTTCTAAGGAAAGAAAATTACTCTAAGAAGCTGTTAATAAGGGAAAGTATGGTAATAGAGAGGGGTATTTTCTTAAAAGTGTGATAAAACTGTCATTTTTATTTTTAATGGCTTTAACTATTAAAGACAAGATTTAATTTCCAGTCACAAAAATAAAACTATCAAATATAACTCTTTAGTCTACTGCCCTCTAATCTTCTAGCTTCTCTTTTGTATCAACTTTACAATGGACTTAATTCAGTTTGAGAGCATAAAGCCAACATTTAGCAAACAAAATTCTCCTGGCTGACAATTATGCATGCCCCCTCCAGAGAGAAAATTCAGTGAATGGTAACACCTAGGAAGGAGGCCTACAGAATTTTCACCCTGTATGTGCCAAGGAAAACTACTTAAAATTGATCTTTTTGAAGATAAAAGAAAGATGAAGCATTCTGAAACTTTTATTGCCAGAGTCTATAAAACCATGTTTAAAAGTAAGAGTGGTTTAATAGCAGACTTTTTATCACCTCCAATGTACAGCAAGAAAGACATCAAAAGAAAAATATGGGGTCATTTCAATAAGTAATTTCTTTCATTTGATGACTAAATTTTCAAATGTTACCACTGTTAAGGCCAAATCATGGCATATTCAATAATGATGTTGACTATTTGGTGTATTGCATCATGGTTCTGACTACTTATTGTATTAGTGAATGTTTAAAAAAAATGCCTAGAATGAAATTAATACTTTTTGATTGGCAGTTACCAGACTGAATGTTGTCTAGAGTTATTTCCATAATATTCTACAGCAAAACAGAAAGTAAGCTTCCATGTCTTCAAAGGGAATTACTTAAGTGAGGCATCCAAAGATACATCTCAAGAAAAGAGAATTAGTTTTCCCTTTAGCAAACATGAGAATTTTTCAGTTGCAATTAATTTATAAATGCATCATGGACTCAAACTCATCAATTCTTTGCTTGGTGTTTCCCTTCCTGATTTTCCGGTAGGATATTGTATTGTATCTTGCATAAGCATTTCTGGAGATGTCATTCTTCTTCCCAAAGGTTGGATGCTCATCTGGTGTCACAGGCTGGGAACTGGGGCTGCTCAGAAGGGATTCCTCACTTGCATCACCTTCATCTCTTAATTGACAGCCTTCTTCATTTTTATTCTTGAATTCTATAACTTGAACTTCATCGTTGTCATCATTGCAATCATCATCATCATCATCATCATCATCATTAATTTCTTCATCCCAACTCTCTGGCTCCTTATCATGTTTAGAATGCAACATGTCAACTTGGCTAGGTTTCTGAAATCCTAGCCATTCAATTTCAGTTGCCTGATAAGCTTTGTTCTTTCTAGCCTCTTCTTCTTCTTCCTCTACAGGTTTTTCATAAATCATTTCCCTCTGTCTAATTAGTTCTTGGTTCTTGCTGTTCAGAGGAATCTTCTCCCACTGGTGACCTATAGCAAAATCAATTGGTAGTGAGCCATGTATAACATTCACTTATTATTTTCCAAACCATTTTTTTGGACAAGCATTTCCCAACATGTGTTTTATGGGATGTTATTCTGTGAGTTACTAATATTTTTTACATAATAAAAAGTCTTTATAGTCAAATGAGTCTGGGAAACACTGTATGAAATACAGTTAAATGAGTTTATTTAAAATTTATTCAGGACTTTAAAAAGCTAATTTATTGTAATTCTCCAAGAAATCAACCCAAGCTCATTTGATTATAGAACTTTTGTGTGGGCTATTGTATCTAGTGGGACTGGTGTACCCTGAGACACATACTTTTAAAAGTCTGTCTAGCCTGTCACCACTCAATATATTAGTATTTAAAATAAAGTATCTGGCTCTCTCTCTTATAACCTTACCCCCTCAAACACACACACACATACATACACACACATACACCCCTCAAGTAAAATTAGAAAAGTGCTTTATGAGCAAAAAGGCATTGTTCTAATAGTAAAACCTTTGACTGACTGCTCATGTCTGGTCACACCCAGGGTACCACACTGAGCATTTGTCACTGTGCTTCTCAGAGTTAGTCTAAACTAACCAGGGATGGAGGAGGAACAGATGTTCAGGAGCCATATGTTGGACTAACCTAGACACCCACCCCCCCAAATCATACACAATATGTTCTAAGTTTCACCACTGATTTTTAGAGAGCCAAGGTTTAAAATTCATATTTAGGTCATATCTGCATATTGATAGATTTGCCTCAAGATACCTAGTTAACTCAGGTTGTTTGGCACCGTGTTGTTGTTTTCGACTCATAGAAACCCTGGATAAGGTTTCCAAGGAGCAGCTGGTGAGTTTGAACTGCCAACCTTGTGGTTTAAACAGTTCTTTTGATCCAGCACTTATCCTATAGCATCACCATGTAGTGACATCTAAAAGGCTTAATTTATTGCAATTCTCACTTTTTAAGGAGTTAGATCATATAAGTATAATCTCAACAATATGATTTGTATTTGTTGTTGTTAAATGCCATAGAATCAATTCTGAATCATAAAAAATCTGTATGGGGTTTCTGAGGCTGTTCATCTTTGTGGAAACAGGCAAATTTATCTTTCTTTCATGGATAAACTGGTGACCTCAAACCTCCAACCTTGTGGTTCACTGTCAAAGCTTATCCTTGAGAGCTACCGCACATGCTAAAATTGAGCCTATTATTAAGGTGAGAGGCAATGTTCCTCTTTGCCCTTCTCACAATTTTCTACTCTCGTTGAAAGATGCCACAGATACATTTTTATCATAGGATTTTTACCTTCTATTTATTTTACATTTCCCTACTTCTAAGAATTACACTAAAAACATGCAGAGAAAGAATTATACTCTAAACTTATATTGTTGTTAAGTGCCTTTGTGTCAGTTCCAATGCATAACCACCAAGGAGCAGCTGGTGGGTTTGAACTGACGATGTCTCGTGGTTTCAAGTTCAGTGCTGATCCTACAGTACCACACCAGGTGTCCATATAACTCTTTTTGTTGTTGTTGTTGTTAAGTGCTGTTCAATCAGTTCTGATTCATAGGTGCCCATGCCCAGTCTATGCTCTTTCTATTGCAAATAAGTATATATTTTTAAGTTTGTCATAATCTTAAAATTTCTTTTGTTTGGGAGGATTTTCCCCACAAGAACCAAAGAAATTGATCTTTTTGCTCATATTCATGACTCAGGTATGGTTTTGTCATGCATGGAATTACTTCTTGATTTAAATAATAATTTTTCCTTAATATTTTTAGCTTCAACATGTTTTTCCATCCAGGATTATACTCTCTAAACATACTAACTTTTATTATGTTTACCACAGTAAAACTAAAAGACACTGAAATCTGTGCCTCCGTCAGCTAGGAAAACTAGCAGTTCCATGGTAGGAAAGACCTGAGGATCTGTTCCCACAAAGGCTACAACCTATAGAGCCTTGTGGGGCAGTTCTACTCTGTCTCACAGGATTGTTATGAGTTAAAATCAACTTGATGGCACACTAGTCTTATAAATTGTCTCTCGAACTGTATAAATTTGGCAATTTTTGATCACTATATTTTTCATTAAGGGACTACCAGTGAACTACTAAATGTGGTCAACACAGTCTGATAGGTTCCCACACAAAGAGGAAAAATGAAGGAAATGGCGAATCACATTCATCTCCTCCTTGGCATACACTAGTGTATGTGACGTTCAACTAATAATCTCTTTAACATTTGTCTGTAAAGTCGTAGACACTAATCAAACTACATTGGAGGGGTCCTAAAAATATAACTTTAATTTTGAAATAAGATGTTTATGCTACAAGATAAGAAATGAATGATTAATCAATAAATTATATCCTGCACTGTATATGGAAACATTTTGAATGTGAACGTCTTCTTAGAATAGACATCTGCAGAATGCATGATTCTTAGTCTACTGAGTTTACTTTAAAGCCAATGTCCTCATTTAAAAATCAATGTACTTTTTATTCTCCTATTTTGGGAAAAGACACAAAAAAGTAACTTTATCACCTTCTGAGCTTTCTTTGACAAGAACGAGGAAACCATTTTGGGCTTATATCAAAAACCTAGCATTTTCTTATACAGCAATCAATTTTTAAAGTTACTTTAAACTGCATGACAATGATAATAGACTTTTTTGATACATCTATTAAAAAAAAAAAAAATTACAGTCCACAAGGGGCCTGACATAGATTTGAAGACATGTTGGTCAAAAGAAAATGCTGATTTAGTGGACTAACAATAGAATCAAAGCTTGTCAAACAGCTATGCCAATCCATGCAATCGCAATCTTGAACCATCTGAAATGCTATCTAAGGTGGAACCCACAGATAAATCAAGACTTTCTGGTATCGTAGTGGTTACGAGTTGGGCTGCTAACCTTACAGTCAGCAGTTCGAAACCACCAGCAGTTCCGTGGGAGAAAGATGAGGCTTTCTGCTCCCGTAAAGATTTATAGCCTTGGAAATCCTGTACAGGGTTGCTATGAGTCAGAACCAACTCCACAGCACTTAACAATAACAACAGAGCAGGTTGGACATTTTTTAAGGTGTTGCCTGGATTGCTTTTGTAACCCCACAATTATATAACATCCCATGTAAAAACTGTCATTCATATCCACTCAATTTCTGTGTAGAAAACTACAGTTCCTGTTACCTTCTCTGAACGTCATTTCATCAGAACTTGTCTCTTGGAGAGAAAGATCTGTAGTAGCCTTATGAACAATAAAGAGGTTCTCTTCTGGTTTCTCTGGAGGGAAAATCCACAGCATTAATACTTATGCATTAGATAGTTGCAAAGTAAATAAATTATCAATTTAGGCTCCAGGTAGAGTTTTTAATTTTAATGACAATGGCTGAAATTACTTGGGTTCATTTCCTCAGTGGATCCTTTATTTAAAGGCATAATAATAAGAATCTATCCTTTTATATCTCTATAAAGAATCATTAATTCAGACATCTTCAGATATATTTAGAAGAAGAATTTGAAAATCTGAATTCTCCTTGTCCAACCAATAATGGAACTGTTTATAATAATAATAAAGTTCTACCCTTATTAACAACAATTAACATTTTTCCAATAATTACTGTATGCAGTTTATCTGAATTGTCTAAAGTGATTCTCAGAATAACCCTACAAATGTAGGTACTACTACTTTATGTTCCCCTAAAGAGAAAATTGAGGCTTTATGAGGCTAGGAACATTGTCTGGTACCACAGAACCATCATATTGATAATTCCAGATTTGATTCAAGGCAGAGGCTTAGTCCTTATGCTATGCAGCCTCCATAAAATAACCTTTTTAAAAATATATATAGTCAGGTAATTCTTGTTATAGTAGTTTATGAAAATAATCCTGAGTGAGTTTATAAATCAGAACAAGCTAATTGAGGAGTACAGAGATAGTTTACCTTTTAGGAACTTCTCATCCATGGACGAGTTGAGTAGCATGATTCCTTGTGATTTTTCACTGTCTTCCTGACTTTCTTCTATGGGAATCTCTCCAAGACTAGGGTCTACCCTGTAGTATGGTGGTGTGCCATCAGCATTAGTTGCTTCATCCATGATTTTAGAGTTGAATTGTTGCCCATTTTCAGGTGGTGAATCCCCATTACACTCAGCCCCACTGAATGTCTCTGGAACATCTGTCATGGTGCAGCGTTGAGTCTGATTTGAGGAAACTTTGGGAGTGAGTGAACAGATCTTGAAAAGATGAATACTCTTGCCTTCAAATCTATAACTCCAACTCCAACTCCTACTCTAAGAATTTTTCAATTCACTTTTAATACATAATAACAAACTTCTTTTCCTAATGGTATACAGACAGAGTTAAGAGTAAAAGCAATAGGCTCTGTCAGATTTGCCAAAAGCCAGTGAGCATGGATCCAGCCAATCATTACATTCTTTGTTGCTTAGCAGTCTCACTTGCAGAATTAATGGTACCCTCTTGATTTACATAAACAAACAATTCTAGGCAATCAGGCTTTTGTGTTGTTATGTAGAAGAGACTTTCAGCTTGTCAGTCCCCCTCTGGGAACAGAGATTTTTGTCCTCTTTTATAATAGTCCTTTGTTATTTTCCTTGTAACAGGAGCCACAATTGTTCCACAGTTTTAATCCAGAGAGAATGACCACCTTGAGGCATATTAGTTCTGTGTAACCCGCTTAACATTTCCAAACAGATTTTATTTAAGTAAAACCTCAGCTATTTTGTAGGGAACAATGCCCTTGTTTCTTATTTATTAAAGAATAAAAACAGCTTATCAGACTGGTAAACAGGACAACTTTATTGTGAATGATTCTGGCAACAGATTTCATGTGATGCATGAAGGTGCCTATAGATAGGACCTCAGAAAGAGAAACAAACAAATAAGCAAACAAAATTCTACCAAATTGTTAATGCCAAAAAATTTAAGGTATTTTAGCCATTTTTCTCCTCAAAACCAAATCTTTGGCCTAACAAGCTCCTCTAAGTTTTAGGCTTAAATATAATTTCTTTAATGACACTTTTCCTGACCCACAAGATTTGGATCGAACTCCTGTTATGATCTTTGCCCTTCAGAGTACTTGACACAATTGTAGTTAAATAATTAATTTCATAATTACCTGTGTGATATCACCTTTGCACATCAAAACCTAAATCTCTAGGTGAAATGACACCTAGATCCATGTTTAACTTATGTCCTACTGCAGCCATAGATCTAAACATCTGCTTTAGCTAGGTAAGTGCTCAATGAATATATGTATACGTGGAAGCCCCAGTAAGATGTATTGACACAGTGGCTGCAACAATGGGTTCAATCATAGCATAACATAACATAACATAACATAACATAACATAACATAACATAACAGTGATTGTGAGGATGGTACAAGACAAGGCAATGTGTTATTCTTTTGCACATGGATTCACTAGGAGTTAGAACTGACTCAACAACATATATATATACCACCACTCATCTGCCAGGTTGTCATGGCTTGTGTGATATAAGGGAGAGGAGAGGAAGGACTGGTTGGTCCAAAGTGTGATCCACAGCCCAATTCGTAACCACTACGCTACCAGAGCTCCTTAAATTGCAGGGTAACCACAAAGAAAATTAATCCATATTCACTGACAAGAAGGCACACAAACAAATGAACTCAGCACAGAAAATATGTGGAACAAAGAAAACAGCAGCACCACAAAACACATACATAGCAAAATGTTCATACCTATTGATAATTGCATTATACATGAATGGATTAAATGCACCAGTAAAGAGACATCTCTGGTAGCATAGTGGTTACAAATTGGGCTGCTAACTTCAGGGTCAGCAGTTTGAAACCACCAGCTGTTCCGTGGAAGAAAGATGAGGCTTTCTGCTCCTGTAAAGATTTACAGCCTCAGAAACCCTGTAAAGGGTCGCTATGAGTCAGAATAGACTCCACATCACATAACAACAACAGCAAAAAAGAGAGACAGAATGTATAAGAAAACAGGATCCTTCAATACAATGTCTACAAGAGACACATATTACACACCAAGACACAAACAGATTTAATTTAAAGGATGGAATAAATATATCAAGCTAATGGCAATAAAAAAAGATCAAGAATGGAAATATCAATTTTTGATAAAATAGAATTTAAGACAAAAATCAACATAAGAAACAAAGTAAGACATTATCTTGTGATGAAAGTATCAGTTGATAAAGAGAACATAGCCATAATAAATATCTGTGCTCCACATGAAATAGCCTCAAAATACATAAGGTAAACTCTAATAGAAGTGACGAAGTAAATAGACAACTTTAAAATAATTGTTGTTGTGAAGTGCCATTGAGTTGGTTCTGACTCATAGCGACCCTGTATAGAGTTTCTGAGGACCTGCTGGTGAGTTTGACCACCAACCTTGTGGTCAAGTGCTTATCCTATAGTGCCACAAGGAGATTTTAATATACCACTTTTGATAAAAGACAGAAACTCAACAGAGGCACAAAAGAACTAAAGAAGACAGTCAACCAATTTGAACTCATAGATTTATAAAGAACGCTCAATCCAACAACAGGCAATACACATTCTTCTCCAGTGCACTTGGAACATTCTCCAGAACAGACCATATGTTAGGCCACAAAGTAAGACTCAATAAATTTTAAAACATCAAAAAGCAATAAAGCATCTTTTCAGATCACAATGCTATAAAATTAGAAATCAACAATAGGAAGATAAAGGAAACAAAACCAAATACATGGAAATTGAATAGCATCTTGCTGAAAAGCTACTGGGTAATAGAACAAATAAAAAACAAAATAAAAGTATTCCTTGAATCAAAAGAGAATGAAAACACAGCATACAAAAACCTCTGGAACATAGCAAAAGCAGTGTTTACAGGGCAATTTAGAGCAATAAATACATACATACAAAATGAAGCAAGAACCAAACTCAACACCCTAACACAACAACTCCAACAATTAGAAAAGGAACAACCAAGAAGGCCCCTGCCAAAAGAAGAAAAGAAAAAATAATAATAAAGATTAAAGCAGAAATAAATGAATTAGAAAATAGAAAAATCTTAAAGACAAGAAGTTGGTTCTTTGAAAAGATTATTAAAATTGACAAACCATTGGAAAATCTAATGAAGGGGAAGGTGCAAATAACAGTATGGGTGACATAACAACAGAACCAATGAAAATAAAAATGATAATAACAGAATACTATGAAGAATTATACTCCAATAAATTTGAAAATCCACCACTTGTTGGTCAGTTTGTAGTACTGGTGTCTTGCATATTGTTGTGATGCTGAAAGCTATGTCACCAGAATTTTAAATATGAGCAGGTTCACCCATGTGGGTCAGGTTTCAGTTGAGTTTCCAGATGAAGACAGACTAGGAAAAAAGGGAGGCTGATGATTTCTCAATGTTTAGCAACTGAAACACTTATGAATAGCAGCAGGATACTGTCATATTCATACAAGGAGGGGGAACGAAGGATATCACTGCTGATGTCAGATGTATCTTGGCTTAAAGCAAAGAATACCAGAGAGATGTTTACCTGTGCTTCATTGATTATGCAAAGGCTATGAATTGTGTGGATCATGACAAACTATGGAAAACAATGCAGAAAATGAGTATTCCAGAACACTTAATTGTGCTTATGAAGAACCTGTACCTAAACCAAGAGGAAATCACTCAAACAGAACAAGGGGACACTGAATGGTTTTCAATCCAGAAAGATGTATGCCAGGGTTGTATTTTTTCACCATAGTTGTTTAGTCTCTATGCTTAGCAAATAATCTGAGAAGCTGGGTTATATGAAGAAAAAATGTGGAATCAAGATTACAGGAAGACTCATTAACAACCTGCAATATGCAGATGATATAACCTTGCTTGCTGAATGCAAACAGGACTTAAAATATTTTCTGACGAAGATCAATGACCACGGCCTTTAGTACAGCTTGTATCTCAATGTAAAGAGAGAAAAAAATCCTCACTACTGCAGTATTAAACAACATCATGATAAATGGAGAAAAGACTGAAGTTGTCAAAGACTTCATTTTACTTGGATCCACTATTAACACTCATTGAAGCAGCAGTCAAGAAATCAAACAATAAGTTGCATTAGGGAAATACATTGCACAAGACCTCTTTAAAGTGTTTAAGAGCAAAGATGCCAGTGTGAGAACTAAGATGTGCCTGACCTAATCCACGGTATTTCAATAGCTTCATATGCATGTGAAAGTTTAAAAATAAATAAGGAGGACCATAGAAGAATTAATGCATTTGAGTTGTACTGTTGGAAAAGAATATTAAAAGTAACATGGACTGCAAAGAAAACAAACAAATCTGTATTGGAAGTACAGCCCGAGCGCTCCTTAGAAGCCAAAAGGGAAAACCTTCATCTCTTACACATGTTATCAGGAGTGATCCTGGAGAAGGACACCATGCTTGCTAAAGAGGAAGGTCAGTGAAAAAGAAAAAGTCCCCCAGTAAAATATATTGATACAATGGCAGCAGCAATGAGTTCAAGCTTAACAATGATTGTGAGAATGGCACAGGACCAATCCATGCTTCGTACTATTGTACATCTGGTCATTATCAGTGGGAAGTCACTCGGTAGCACCTACCAACAACAACAAATTTGAAAATCTAGAAAAAAATGGATAAATGTTTAGAAGATCACGACTTGCCAAAACTAACACAGAGTAGAAAACTTGAACAGACTTATAATAAAAGGAAAAAAAAAGATCAGGTCATTAAAAAACTCCCAACAAAAAAAAGTCCTGGACAACATGGCTTTACTGGTGAATTCTATAAAACATTCAGAAAAGAACTGACATCAGTTTACTTAAACTTTTCTAGAATATAGAAAAGGATTGAAAAACTCCCAAGTACATTTTATGAAGCAAGCATAACTCTCATACCAACACCAGGCAAAGATATCACTAAAAAAGAAAATTGTAGACCAATAATTCTCATGAGCAAGGACTTCTGGTGTGGTGCTATAGGATCAGTACTGGACCGCGAACCACAAGGTCAATAGTTGAAAACTACTAGCTGCTCCTCAGAAACTCTATACATGGTCACTATGAGTCAGAACTTACTCGACTGCACTTAACAACAATATCCCTCATGAACACGAATGCAAAAACTCTCAACAAAATCCTAACCAATAG